GGTTTTTTTTTTTTGCATATCGTGTACATGTAGAGGCTGTTATAGCTGTCTTTTGATTCTTGGTTAGCTGGGGAAGAGTAAGCAGCATTTTTGGGATCCTTCGGAAACCCGATCTGTTCTTCCTCATTAGTTTCGCGGGAACGCGGCCATCCCTCGCCCCTCCGCCCCTACCTCTTTAGTTTGTTCCTGGACTGTTTTGTCTGGGTCACTCCCGACAAAGGTGATGCAAGTAGCAATAAAAGTACACCCGCCCCCCCGACAAAAAAAAACAAAAAGATTCTGGCTTTAGGACGTGCGGTCAACGGACCAGGCTTGCATCAGGGTCTCCCTTTTGGTGGGGGGGGGGGGGGGGGGGGGGGGGGGGCATGAGGGACGTGGGACAGTCCGAAGCAGGTTGAGCCTTGATCTCAGACCAGCCGACATCGAGAAAGACAAACATTATTAAGTAAAACTGGTAAATTTAATGTATATATATCTAATGTACTGTACTTTATACTATGTTTTCGAAAATATTCTTGATAACCAAAATGTTTATATTTTTTAGAACTAAGAAAATATGTTTTTATAGTATGATTCATGTAGCCATGTTGAGACCCTAATTCTTGGCAGCATCACATCGGCTAGAAATCATCGCGTGCGCCTCGTTGTAGCTCATCACTGGCCAAAGCAATAAGTGGATCCCCACCACGTGTTGTTATCATCTGTGGATGTGCGTAGTAGGCCCCATAACGGTCCAGCTCTCGAGAAAATCTAGAAAATGCAACCTCCCCGCGGTGCTCGTCACCACCAACGGGAAGTAGCAGCACCTTACGCGGATCGCTCCGCTTGTGTGGCACACTTTGCTCCTCTGGCTTGCTTCCTTCATCACACCGACCAGTCACCGAGCTGGGAAGCATGTACCGCCCGCCCCCTCACGAGCCGGCAGCGGCTGGCGATGAGCTCCCGGGCGTCCTGCCGTCACCGCACCACCCCGATCGAGCACCTACCTCTGCGACCCAAGGTTACCCAGCGACAGACGATTGCGTTCTAACATCCTTCGCATCCTGTGCATCCTGTCTTTGGCCTTTCTCTGTCGCGGGACAAAGCCACTGATCATGGGCCCAGGTTGGGAGACACTGATTGGTCGTCGACGACCCCCCCCCCCCCCCCCCCCCCCCGCCATGCGCCGTCCACAGCAAATCAAAGCCAACATTCAAGCACCTACACACAAAACACCCACATCCATCCAAATCTACCCCCTCCCTCATACTTACGCCAATCGGATCATCACACACGCCACACCGCTCCCAATGTCTTTGCTACGCTGGCAAAACCCGGGCTGGCGGTGCGAGCCCGCATCCGCAGCTGACGGCCGCCGCCCCAAGTCGCATCCGTCGCCCAGCCGGCCTCACCACACCCGCGCCACCCGGTACCACTTGTCGCACCACCTCCTTCCGCGAAAGCAGCAGGGGCTACCAGCAGGAGGACAGGCAGCGCAGAACCAGGTCCGTACCAACAGGAGAGTCTCCGGTGGGTCGCAGACCTCGACAAGAGCGTGTGTGTGTGCTTGGTGTGCAGAGGCGCGTTTTTTGAGCAAGTCGCAGTAGCAGCCAGCAAGGATGGTGGACTATGAGGAGCTCGGGCTCGGACACGACGACGACGGGCTGATGGAGGGCGAGGGCGACGACGAGCTGTACATTGACGACTCGTGGATGGTCATTTCCGAGTACTTTCGCAAAAAGTCGCTTGTCCGGCAGCAGCTCAACTCGTTTGACGAGTTCATCAAGAACACGATGCAGGAGCTGATCGACGACTCGCCGCCGATCGAGATCCAGGCGCGTAACCAGTACCAGACCGAGGTGGAAGTGGACACATCGACGAGCTACCGGCTTGCGTTTGAGCAGATTTTCATTTCTAAGCCGTCGATTGCCGAGCTGTCTGGCGGGCGGACGGCGGTGATGCCCAACGAGGCGCGGCTGCGGAACCTGACCTACCAAGCCTCGCTGTTTGTCAACGTCAAGTGCGTGACCGAGCGGCGGCAAGAGGTGGAGGATGAGGACGGCCAGCTTGTCATGGACTACCAGACCGCCGAGGCGCTGCGCGAAAAGGTGCCGTTTGGTGCCATGCCCATCATGCTGCGGTCCGAGTACTGTGCGCTCTCCAACCACTCAGACAAGGAGCTCCCGGATCTCGGTGAGTGTCCGTATGACAAGGGCGGGTACTTTGTCATCAACGGGTCGGAAAAGGTGCTCATTGCACAGGAGAAGCAGAGCCAGAACTATGTGTACGTCTTTACGCACTCGTCGGGCAAGTTTTCGCACACGTGCGAGATCCGGTCGTCGTGCGAGACCGGCGCGCGGCCGGTTTCGTCGCTCAAGCTCATGCTGCAGGCGCCGCCGACGACCAAGGCCAAGGCGAGCCAGCAGTGCATCCGGTGCGAGCTGCCGTACGTCCAGCAGGCCGTGCCGGCCATGCTTGTCTTCCAGGCGCTCGGCTTTGTGGCAGACCGCGAGATTTTGGAGCTCATCTGCTACGATCTTGTCGATGCCGAGATGCTCGAGATTATCAAGCCGTCGCTGGAGGAGGCGGCGGTCATTGCTGACCAGGACCTTGCGCTCGACTACATTGCGCGGCGTGGGCGGACCAAGGTCAACTCGCGGCAGAAGCGCCTGCAGTACGCGCGCGATCTGCTGCAGAAGGAGATGCTCCCGCACGTGGGCGTCACCGACTTTTCCGAGCTCAAGAAGGCGTACTACCTCGGGTACATGATCAACAAAATGCTCCAGGTTGCGCTTGGCCGCCGCGAGCAGGACGACCGCGACCACTACGGCAACAAGCGGATGGACCTTGCCGGCCCGCTCCTCACCTCGCTCTTCCGCGGCCTTGTCAAGCAGGTGTCCAAGGAGACCCGTGAGTACCTCATGCTCGAGCTCGAGTCCTCGGGAGGCGCTCTCGAGCTCGACATGATCAAGCTTGCCGTCAAGCCGTCGATCATCGGCCAGCGCATGAAGTACTGCCTTGCAACCGGCAATTGGGGAACCCAAAAGATGGGCTCCATTGCCAAGGCCGGCGTCTCGCAGGTCCTCAACCGGCTCACCTTTGCCTCGTCGCTCTCGCACCTCCGCCGGCTCAACACGCCCATCGGCCGCGAGGGCAAGCTGACCAAGCCGCGCCAGCTGCACAACACCCACTGGGGCATGGTCTGCCCCGCCGAGACGCCTGAGGGCCAGGCGTGCGGCCTCGTCAAGAACCTCTCGCTCATGACGTACGTCTCTGTCGGTTCGGAGACCTCGCCCATCCTCGGCTTCCTCCAAGACTGGTCGCTGCAGGACCTCGAGGAGGTCGGTGCGGTCGACATCCAGACCGCCACCAAGGTCTTTGTCAACGGGCGCTGGGTCGGCATCCACCACAACGCTCTTGAGCTCCTTACCATGCTCCGCAACCTGCGCCGGCGTGGCGACATCTCGGTCGAGGCTTCGTTCGTCCCGGTCCTCAACGACCGCGAGCTCCGCATCTACACCGACGCCGGGCGCTGCCTCCGCCCGCTGTACATTGTTGGCGCCGACCGCAAGCTTGTCCTCAAGCGCACAGAGGTGCTTAAGCTCCACCAGACCGGAGACGTCGTCGGCACCGGGTGGAACAAGCTCATCGAGCAGGGCAAGGTCGAGTTTGTCGACACCGAGGAGGAGCAGACCCTGCTGGTCGCCATGACCCCCAACGACCTCAAGATTGCCTCGCAGGAGTTCCTCTACACCCACTGTGAGATCCACCCGTCCATGATCCTCGGCATTTGCGCCTCGATTATTCCCTTTCCGGACCACAACCAGTCGCCGCGAAACACGTACCAGTCGGCCATGGGCAAACAGGCCATGGGCATCCCAGTCTCGTCGTACCAGCTCCGCATGGATACCCACTCGAACGTGCTCTACTACCCGCAGAAGCCGCTCGTCCGCACCCAAGCCATGCGCTACCTGCACTTTGGCGACCTGCCCGCTGGCCAGAACGCCATTGTCGCTGTCGCTTGCTACTCGGGCTACAACCAGGAAGACTCGCTCATCATGAACCAGTCGTCGATCGATCGCGGCTTTTTCCGCTCCGTCTCGTTCAAGTCGTACAAGGACGAAGAGCGCCCGGCCTCGTTCGACAAGTCGCTCTCGGAAACGTTCGAGAAGCCAAACGTCGACGAGCTCGACCGCATCCCGCACGGCAACTTTGACAAGCTCGACGACGACGGCTTTGTCGCCCCGGGCACCCGCGTCACCGGCGAGGACGCCATCATCGGCAAGACCGGCCCGCTGCCCGAGGTCACCGACGACAACGCCCGCGCCCCGGGCGGCCGCCCCTGGCGCGCCAAGAAGGACGCCTCGACCCTGCACAAGCGCGGCGAGACCGGCATCGTCGACCGCGTCATGATCTCCACCAACGAGGAGGGCTGCCGCTTTGTCAAGGTCCGCGTCCGCAAGATCTGCATCCCGCACATCGGCGACAAGTTCTCCTCCCGCCACGGCCAGAAGGGCACCGTCGGCATCACCTACCGCCAGGAGGACATGCCGTTCTCCCTCGAGGGAATCTCGCCCGACATCATCATGAACCCGCACGCCATCCCGTCGCGGATGACCATCGGCCAGCTCGTCGAGTGCATTCTTGGCAAGGTCTCGTCCATCCAGGGCCTGTTTGGCGACGCCACTCCGTTCGCTGACCTCACCGTCTCCAACGTCGCCGACCAGCTCCACAAGCTCGGCTACCACCGCTACGGTAACGAGGTTCTCTACTCGGGCTTCACCGGCCGCAAGCTCGACGCTCTTATCTTCTTCGGCCCGACCTTCTACCAGCGCCTCCGCCACATGGTCGACCTCAAGATCCACGCCCGTTCTCGCGGCCCCACCTCGGTCCTTGTCCGCCAGCCTACCGAGGGTCGTGCCCGCTCCGGTGGCCTTCGCTTTGGTGAGATGGAACGCGACTCGTTCCTCGCCCACGGCGTCGCCGTCGCCCTCCGCGACCGCCTCTTCTACTCCTCGGACCCCTACCGCATCCACGTCTGCGCCCTCTGTGGCCTCCCCGCCGTCGCAAACGTCAAGTCGGCCCAGTTCTACTGCCAGGCCTGCAACAACACCACCCGCATCTATCAGGTCAACGTCCCCTACGCCGGCAAGCTCCTGTTCCAGGAGCTCCAGGCCATGAACATCGCTCCCCGCATGTTCTTTGACGACGAGTAAATCAAGCAGGTGACCTGCAAGACCCGCTCCGCACAGTTTACCCTGCTTCTCCCCCTCTCACGCGCCAAACACAGCCTTCACGTACTCTTCAAACACAGGAAGGACAGGCGTCTGCGCCACATGGGTGGTGAGGTCGAGCTTGACCACGGCCTCGCCGGCAAGCGTAAAGTTGAACTCGGACATGATGACAATGCCGTTGGTTGTCTTGGCCGAGGTGAAGACGAGCATCTGCGACATGGCCTCGTTGGCGTGCTTGGCGATGACAAAGATGTTGTTGGCTTCGAGCGTAGCCATGGCACTCTCGAGGCTGACACCAGCCTTGACGCTCACGGTGGTCTTGGACTCCTGCTCGCCGCTCAGCGCCTTCCAGCCCTGGATAAACGCCGGCCGCTCGAGCTTGCCGTCCTCGACCAGCACCGCCCCGAGCGGGACCATGCACAGAAAGTAGAAGACTTCGACGTTGTTCTTGAGCGCAACCTGGAGCGACATCAGCGGGTTCGACAGCGCCATCTCGCCGTTGGTACCCAGCGGGAGCGCAAATGTCGCCGTCGCCCCGGGCGCCACCGACGAGATGCCGATGGCCGAGCCGGGCACGAGCCCAAACGACGACTTGTTGAACACGGCCTGGAACTGCCCGATCGGTGCCAGCGACTTGTTCGTGATCGTGAGGTCCATGAAGATCGCCCCGTCGGCCCGCCGGATCGACGTCGCCACCTCCATGCCCTTGCCGTTGCTCGCCGGGAGGACCACGCTCGACGGCTGCACGTACCGCTTCGGCGAGCTCGCACCGACACCAACACTGGCGCCGCCAGAGCTGCTTGCGCCGCCCGACATGAGATCGAGGAGCGAGCCGCCCGATGGCGGCGGAGCGCCGGCGCCGCCTCCGTTGCTCGGCGCCCCGCCCGAGAGCAGATCCAGCAGCGAGCCGCCCGACGGCGGCGGCGCGCCGGCACCAGAACCGCTCCCGCCCACCACTGACGAGCCGGACATGAGGTCAATCAGCGAGCCGCCCGTGCTAGCGCCACCGCTCGTGCCTGCGGTAGCCGCCGTTTTCGTGTTGCCGCCGCTGGCACCGCCGCTCAGGCCAGCATTGGCGCCGCCGCTCGCCGCCGCAGCGACCGGAGCAGGTGCCGCTGTGTTGGCGTAGTTGGGCAGCTTGGTCGGGTCGATTTTGCGCTCCGGCGCCTTGCGCTTGGCCTTCTTGCCGTCGGGCGCCGACGTGTCGTCGTCATCGTCGTCGTCGTCGTCGTACGAGTGCGAGGTGATGACCACAAACGACTCGGCGGCTTGTAGAAGACCGACGAGAGCGTCGCCACGTTGTCCAGTAGCTTGCCGAGGAGCGACGGCTCGATCTCGCCGAGGTCGTCCGACACAAACGGCTTGTTCGACAGCACAATAGCCTTGGCCGCCTCGGGATTCGACGACAGCAGCCGCCAGTACAGGAACCCGCGGTCGCGGAGGTCCGGATCGTCCGCCGTCTGGGTCACCAGCTGCAACACGTCGTGGACCATGTCCTGCGCATCGGTGTGCCGCTTGAGGAAGAGCTTGACAATGGCGGTGAGGAGCGCCATCTGCACATCGACAACCTCGTCAGCATACGTCTCCAGGAAGGAGTCCAGCAGCTCGTCGGCGTTGTCGATCCGCTCCGCGTACTCGCCGACAATCCAGATCATCGACGCCTTGGCCTCGGGCTCGTCGAGCTCGTCCAGGTTCTCGCACAACGTGGCAATGATCGACTCGTACCGGTTCGGGTACTTGCGGAAAATGTCCTTGATGACAATGATCGCCTCCTGCACCACGTAATTGACCTTGGTTTCGATGAGCGTGAGCAAGACGTCAATGCACGCCTGCGCCGACCGCTCCAGCTTGATCGCGCACCGCCCGATCGCACGCACTGCCTTGCGCACAAACTCCACGTCCACCTCTTGCGCGTACGTCTTAAACTCGAGGAGTAGCAGCTCAATGTTGGACTCGGACGCAAGCTTGACCAAAATCTCCAGCTTCTCGAGCTTGACGTAGATCGGGTCGTCGTAGTTGCAGAACAGCATCCTCACGTGCGAGATCGAGGTCAGCAGGTTGGGCCACCGCTGGATGATCAGGTTGATGTTGCGGAGTGCCACGTACTGGATCTCCGGCGGCTTTTCCTGGTCGTTGAGGAGCGACGCGAGCGGCTGCGACATCCGCTTGCACGTCGCCCGGATGAACGACTGCGAAGTCACAAAGTCCAGGTACTTGACAAGAACCCGGATTGCAGAGAGTGCCACCGACGAGTTGCGGTGGTTCAGCCGCGGCACAACACGCTCGATGATCGACTCGGCCTCCCGCGGGTCCACCGGCGAGTACCGCGCAAGCGCGTCCAGAATAAACACCTGGCCCCACTCGGTGCACTCGGAGAGCGCAGTCAGAATCTGGTTCAGCGTCGCAGCCTTGATCTCAAACACAGGCGCCGTCGTTGTCGCTTGGATCTCGGACAGAGCCGCCACCGCGTTGGCTACAACCATCGGGTTGCCATCCTCCAGCAGGCCCTGCAGCGACTCCAGAAACCCGTGGTCCGCCACAATCGAACGGTTCATCGCATACAACTTGGCCACACACACTGCCGCAGTCTTGCGCACATACGCGTCCTCGTCCCGAAGCGCCGCAGTCAGCGGCTCCGTCAGGTGTTCGATCATCGTGTCCACACGGATTGACCCCATCGTCCGGATCGCCAGCGCCCGAATGAGGGGGTTGTGGTTGTGCGTGTCCTTGAGAAACGTGTTGATGGCAGAAATCGCAAGGTCCGGCTTGCTCTGCGCATAGTTCATCACATACAGGTACACCAGCTTCTTCAGCTCGAGGTCCTTGGTCTGGATGCAGTTCACCACTGCCGCCGCCCCCGAACAACCAGCCAGCCGCACACCGCGCCCATGCCCATTCAGCCCGTCGGCAGTGAGTACTACCCCACACACCCCGCCCATCCCACCACCCACACTCCCTCGCCCACACCCCTCTCCCTCCCTCCCTCCCTACCTACCTACCCCACTACCCCCACCCGCGACCTCCCCCCCCCCCCCCACCCCGCAGCGCCTGCCCGAATTTTTCAGGCCGCTGCCTGGGGCTTCAATGCGGCCACCCTGTTCCTGCCGCCCGCTGCTGCTACTGCTGCGTCTCTGCACCTACCGTCCATGAACAGCCGCGACATGTCCTTGCCTACAGTCATGGCATAGATGACGTTCTTCACTGCAGTCACCTTTTCCTTCGAGTCCTTGCCTCCCAGGATTTCCCGCAGGTGCGCGTCGTCGCCCTTGCGCGAGTCACCGAACGGGTTGGACGACATCGTCGATGGGCGAGAGTCGGGTGCCGTCCACCGAAACGACAGAATGCCGTGCGCCCCGCCCCTGCCCTGCTGCCAGCCATCGACTTCCATCGATTGCCGCGTGACACAAACACAAACAGCCAGAGATGCCCCGGCCCCCATACTCGCCCCCTCCTTTGCCCATGCACTCTTCTACCTCCCCCGCCTCTTCCCTTCCACCATGGGCTGGCACACACTCCTTGCCGCCGCCTGCTGTCTCGTCCTTGCTCTTGCGGCTTGCTTCCCTGCCGCGGCTGCCACTCATCGCCTCGCCGTCATCGTCGACACGGATAGTACGCCCCCACCCTCCCTCCCCCCCCCCCTCCCTCCCTCCGCCTCCCCCCCTCATCACCTCCATCTCCCACTCACCCCAGACACACGGTATAGTCGGCGACGAGTTCGATGACTCGTGGGCGCTCGCCTACCTCCTCGCCTCGCCGCACATCGAGGTCAAGATGGTAACCACTGCCGCCCACGACACCGTCAAGCGGGCGCACATCGTGGCAAAGTATCTCACGGCGTACAACGCCTCACACATCCCCATTGGCATCGGCATCCAGCAAGATGACACCATTGGCCCGCTCTACCCCTGGGCTGCCGACTTTCCGCTCGCATCCTACCCCGGTGGCGTTCACACCGACGGCGTCGCCGCCGCCGCCGCCCTCCTCAACGCCTCGCCCGAGCCCCTCGTTATCGTCGCACTCGCTCCCTTTGTCAACCTCGCGGCGCTGGCCAAGCGGTTTCCAGCTGCCGCCGGCCGTGTCACGCTCATCTCGGCCATGGGCGGCTCTATTCACACCTGCTACGACGGCAAGCCCGGGCCGTGCCCAGAGTACAACATTGCCGAGGACGTGTCGGCGTCGCAAGCCCTCTTTGCCCAGACCTGGCCCGTCCACCTCGCTCCGATCGACACCTCTCAGTCAACCATCGACGGCCCGCTCTTCCGCGCCCTCGTCGCCGCCAACAACACTGCCGACCACCCCATGGTCACCACTCTCCTCTCCAGCTACTGCTTCTGGTCGCAGTACAAGGTCTGCGGCCCGGCCGGCATGCTCTGCTGCCACAACTCGACCGAGGACCTCTTCGATCCCACCGCCGTCTTTATGACCATCACCCAATCGGGCCTCCTCCCCGACACCCCCGGCCTCGCCCTTACTCCGCTCACCCTCAGGGTGAGCGCCAGCGGCGAGACACTTTCAGATCCATCGGGCAAGCTCGTCAACACTGCCATTCACTGGCTGCCCGGCGGCGAGGCTTGGTTCCACGCTGCCTTTATCGACACACTTCTTGACTTCACCACGTAGCCCGCCCATGTGTGAGGCTCACATTTGCATTTCTTAACTTTGTACACGAAGCAATCACCAGCATCCACCCGCCGCCGCACTCACGCCGTCACGGCCTGCACCACCGCGTATCCCATCCCCAGCGTCCCGATGGCCGCCACATCGCGTACCTTCAGCTGCGCCACCCACGCCTTGGAGCAAGCCAGCATGAGGAGCGAGGCCAGCGCGCCGAGCATCAGAATACGCCCCAAACTCGAGAGCGACCAGCCCGGTGCCGAAAACACAACCGCCTCCAGCAGCGCCGCCACGACAACAAGCACAAGACCGAAGGCTGCCGCAGGCCCAAAAGCCCGTGCGCCCGAAACCCACTCGGGCACGACCGCAAGAGCAGAGAGCGTGGAAGCCGTAGACTTGGCCGACGCCGCACCCGCCGCGACCGGCGTGGCACCCGCCGCAAATGTGAGCGGCGACTGCTTCTTCACCGCAGGCAAGGCAAAGATCGTGTCAGATGTTGTCCGCGGCGTAACAAGGTCCCATCCGCCGCGCGGTGTAACCAGCGCCGGCTGCTTGGCACTCACTTTGCCGACCGTCGACACCTGGAGCGGAGCAAACTTGGAAGACACGCGCTTGCGCAGAGCAATGCGCGACGAAGACGACGGAACAAACGAGGGCGAGTCGGCGGCAACAGCAAAGAGCTCGGTCGTCGGCGTCGCCACCGCGCCAGTCGGCGGCGACTTGACCGCAGATGCCGGCGTGACGTCGATGGTGATCCCGCCCCGGACCGGTGAGCCGAGCTCAAAGCCGGGCGAGAAGAGCAGGCCCGCAGGCTCGCTGTCGTCGACGGCCTCGTTGTCATCGTCGCTGCAGTCCACCGAGTCGTCATCAAACCCAAGATGGCGCGAAATGTTCCCAATGTCCGCTACCGTCGGTGAGTCGCGCATGCGGACCGACGCCTCGTCGTCGTCTGAATCGTCAAACAGAACCGCCGACGGGAAGCCCATGGCCCGGATCTCTTCATCGTCAATCGACTCCGAGTCCGACTCGCCAGCCCGCATTGGCCGCGAGAGCGTAAACGTTGGCAGGCTGCTGCTCTGTGCTGCGTCAGACGACTCGGACGATGCTTCGCCAGACCGCGACGGCGAGTGAATCGGCGAGAGCTCCGCATCGAGCTTCGAGCCGTTGGTCATCGACCGGAACGGCGACGCCAAAATGTTGGAGACCAGATGAGCACCTGCAGCGCAAAAGGCCTGGACCTTGGACCGCAGCTTGCCGCCTCCATCCACGTCGTTGCGTTCGTGGAGCGACCGCCGCCGGATCGGCGGGTGCGCCAGCAGCTCGGCCGCCGACGGCCGTTTGGCAGGATCCGGATCCATCATCCACTGCACAGTAGCCACAAGCTCAGCAGACCGCTTGTGCCGCTCCATTGCCTCCAACGGGAGCCGGCCCTCGCGCAGATCGTGCCACAGAGGGCCGCCGCGCGGCATCTCGATGTTGGCCGCCATCTCGAGCACCGTCGCCCCGAGCGAGAAAATGTCTACTCCTGAGCCCACAGGCTTGCTCGGATCGTCTTGCAGCACCTCTTGCGGTAGGTACGCCGGATCGCCCTCGAGGTCGACCTTGGCCAGCGCCGCCGTCTGCGACGAGCCGCCCTCGAGCCGGACAGTGATCCCAAAGTCTCCGATCTTGAGCGAGCCGTTCTGGTCCAGCAGAATGTTCTCCGGCTTGATGTCCAAGTGAAGGAAGCCGGCCGAGTGGATGTGCTCCAGCCCGAGCGCAATGTCGATGAGCGCGTGCCAGATGAGCTCCTCCTCTAGCACCGCGTGCGAGTCAATGAAGTTCATCAGCGAGCCCTGCGCGCAGAATTCCATCTGGATGTACAGGAATCCGTCCTCCTCCCATGCCCGATAGTACTTGACACAGTGATCCGAGTGCAGCTCCGCAATGGCCTCCACCTCTTGGATAGCCCGTCGCCGATCACGAGTTCCGCGGAACTGGTGCCGGCTCTTCTTCACCGCATACACCTGCCCATCCACCTTCCACAACGCCTTGAAGACCTCGGCAAACGAGCCCGAGCCCAGCCGACCCTGGACCTCAAACTCGGCTGCAAACATGGATGCATGCTCGGCCGGGAACGGCGAGACGTCTGCCATTTCACCCATCCTCGCCGTGAGTGTGCCTTGTGTGGGACATTTGGCGCCAAAAATGCGCGCCATCACGCGGTGGCAGACGGCGACTGGGGAACTCCTGCAGGGGCGGGAGAGGAAGAGGTGGAGGAGAGAACGACACACAAGGAGGAAGATACACGTACATGGCGAGCGGTAGGGCATGCTCGTGGTGACCGGCGTAGCCGCAAGCATGGCGGACGAATGCACAATGACCGAGTCGGCCCCTGGCCGCCGGGCGAACAGCCGCGAGACGGCAGGCGACTTTGACGGTGGTGAGGGACAGGCCTTGGCCTTGGCGCTGTGGCTCTTCTCCACATAGGCCCGCGAGTCAAACACAGTTGGGTCCGGCGTGGGCAAGTACTTGGGCCGCGCACGGTTTCCTCTCCGCACCGGGGACGCAATGGGGGAAAGCATCTCCGTCGTAGACGAGGAAGAGCAGTGCCACGAGACTGGCGCTGGCGCGGGACCGAGACCGCACACCAAAGGCAGCGACGCAAAAAAAGTGGCTTCAGGTCAACTTCACCCGAACACTGACACCGACCAAGAAACCGAACGAGGCATTGACAACATTGTTCAAGATACAAACAGGGGAACACAAACGCAGACACAGGCCCGACAACTGCTGTCGTCCTCGCCGCGGGTCGTGGTCGCTCGTGACAGACGGTACTGCCATCAGCGCACAAGCAGGTTACTACCGAACAGGCGACGGCGATGGCCGGATGAGGAAAGCGGTGTGGTCGAGGCCAGCCGTGGTATCGAGCTCGTGGCTCTCGTTGGCCCACGGCTCAACATCGTCCGGCACCACGTCGCGAACGCCCGGTCCGCCAGCCGCACTGCGCTTGCGAAGCTTGCGCTCCAGCGCCCGCTTGTCGCGGACGTACGATGCGTGGAGCGCGACAATCTCCTCGCGCAGCGTCTCGAACGCGATGTGCGGCGCCGAGTCCTTGAGCGCCAGTAGTGCTTCGCGGTGCTGCTCGAGCGTCGCGTGGTGCTTCTCACTCAAAAGGGCGTGCCGGTGCTGGAGCGCAGAGTGTTCGTCGCGGAGCTCGGTGTACGCTGCCGCCATGTCCGCCAGCCGCGCCTCCACCGCCTCGAGCGACCGCCGCATCTCATCGAGAGCCGTGTCATGCCCGGCCCGCGCCGAACGCACCTCGGCTTGCGCTGTGTGCAGCTCGTGCACCAGCCGCGCGTTGGTGTTTGTCAACGACCGAACCTCAGCAATCGCCGCTGCAAGCTGCGGGGACGCCTTGGCCGAGGCCTGTGCCACCGCCTCCACCTGCTCCTCGGTCTGAGTCTCAGACTCGCGCCGGTCAGTGGCCTCGGTTTGCGCAGCGGCTTCGGCAACAGCAGGCTGCTCAAAGACCGTGCGGCCTGAGAAGCTGATGCTCTGGCTAGTTTCGTCAGGCTGGACCACAGCCTGCGTCTCGTCTGCACCGACCTCGGTCTCGTCTCCACCAAGCTCGAACAACGCCGGAGCAAGGTAGGCGCCGAGATCCTGAACAAAGCTCTTCTCAGCCTCGCCACCTGCATCGTCGCCTGCTTCTTCGCCTGCTTGTGCGATCATGCCACTCGCACCCCGCCTCGCTGCTGCCAGTTCTCCTTGGAGCTCATCCAGCCGCGCATCAAATGCGGCAGCCATCTCGGCCAGCGCGTGACCGCCCGACACGGTGTCCAACTGGCGCCGCGCCTCGTCCAAATCAGCCCGCAGTGCTGTGGCCGATGCCTGCAGCGCCGCAGCTGTAGCCTCGGCGTCACAGCTCCGCGCTGCGTACGTTTCAGCCCGTGCTTCAGCAGCCGCAGCGCGGGCCGACTCAGCCTCGACCTCTGAGCGAAGCTCGCGGAGCTTGGCAGTCTCGAGTGCTGCGCGCTGTTCGGCGTTGTACACACGTTCGTCGGCCTCGCGCGAGAGCGTCGCAAGCTGGGCCGCAAGCTTGTCGGCTCGTGCACCGCGCGACTTGGCCAGCACCGCCGCCGACGCAAGCGACTGGTTAAGACGCTCGATCTCGCGCTCCAAGGCGACAATCTGGTCCATGCGCTCGTCGTGGATGAGCCCAACCTGCATGCGGAGCTGAGAAACAGTCTCGTCACGCGCTGCCACGTGCATCCGCAGCTGGTCGCGCTCGATGGTCACCATCTGTAGCTGCCGCCCGCGTAGCTCGGTCAGCGCCACTCCGGGCGGCGTCGCGTTGCGGGTCTGAAACAGCATCAGCTCCTCCTTGGCCGCGCCCGCCGCGCTCTGCGCCTCTGTCACCTCGCGCGCAGCCTGCGCGAGTTGCTCACGGAGCTTGTCGTTCTGGCTCAGCGTCCGCTGGAAGGTCAACTCGTTGGCGTAGAGCAGCGCGTTGAGCCGCGAGACCTCGCGCCGCAGAGCCACCTCATCCTGAAAGTGCGCCGGCGACGGCGCGTACGGCAGCGCATGCCCATGCGCAATCTTGGCATCACCCTCTTCTTCTTGACCCTCTCCACTCGTTTCCTCGTCCTCGCTTCCTTCCACAGCGCTCCGCCCTGAAGCCGCCCGGGCCTCAGCAAGGACAGCAGCCGTAGAAACCAGGTCGGTACCTGGGGAGCCAAACACGCCCACGTCCTCCTCGGCCTCGCCCGCACGCAGCGCCTCTTCAAACGCAGCGTCCAAGCTCCGTGCCATCCCCTTATTCCGTCTGCAGCCTTTATGCAGTATGCAGTGCGAGGAGTCTGGCTCTACTTGCTTCGCCTGTTCCGGTCCCCGTCGCCCTGCCCAGGCCGGCCGTCGGCTCTCCCCGCCCGCGCCAAACACCATTTTGGCGCTCCTTTGAGCACCACACCACCACCTGGCAGGCAGGCAGCGACTGGCACTACTGCCGCCACCACCACCAGTTCGCAACACGAACACCAAACACACACACGAGCACACACACACGCCCGCGCACACATAGGTACCACCCCACCGCAGTCTCTCCCTCCGCATGTCTGGGCGAGACCGCCGGGCGCTGCTGGCTCTGTCGCGGGCAAGAGCCCGGTCGTCGCACGTCGCTGCCTTTGCCGACAAGCTCACCTCGGCCGCCCGCAAGGCCCGCAAGTCGACCACCACACGCAGAGCCCAGCGCCAGTGGATGATCCAAGCCGAGAAGTACACTCGCCAACGCGCCCAGCTTGAGGGCGAGCTCCGGATTGCCGCCGCCCGCATCGCCGCCACTGCCACCGATGTGGGGAAGCCCGACGACGCCGACAACGTCGACCTACCGCTCGATCTGGCGGAAGCCATTGCCGCCGCCACCATTAATGCTCCGCCGCTTCCACTCGACCGCATTCAGTACGCCCAAGCGCTCATCGCCCGCGGGGCATCGCTGACCGAGGCCCAAGCCGTCCGAGTTCGCCAAGCCCTCGACGACGCGCAAGCTGCCATCGATGCCAATCTGGTCATGCTCGAGCCGATCATCGAGCGCCTCGAGGCCTCCATTGCTGGGAACAACGACTCTCAACGCCCTTTTCCTGCTGTCTCTCGTGCGTATCTCTGCACCACTGTGGTGGGGAGCCTCCCACTAGAGCTGCGCGACATGCTCGAGCCTCGTCATGATGGAGCTCCGGACGAGCATGGGGTCCGCGCTGACGCCACATCTGAGCTTGCTGCGCTTGCCTCGTCGTATGCATATCGCGAAGCTCGGCTTGGCCAGCGATTCGCCGACGTGCTGGCACTGTGGCCGCGCGCCGGTTGGTCGCTCCGCGATCATGCTGTGTTCGAAAAAGAGTACGACGAAGCACCAAGATCCAACCCACACTGGCGCCGAGACCTGTTTGAGCGGCTGCATCTACTCCTTCCACACCAGTCCCACAACGCCTGTGTCATCCACGAGACCTTTGTTCGCCGCGCCAAGGTCTTTCATTCGCTCCACGCCACTCTCCTTGCCGGGCTAGCCAGCGATGTCGAAGAGCTGGCCGCAGCAGCGCTGCGGTCCGAAACGGAGGCTCAGGCTGCTGCTGCTGCTGCTCAAGCAGCAGCGGACGACCTCGCCGCGTTTGATCGTCTGCGCCGGGTCTGGCATGCCGAGCTGGCCAAGTGGCGCGAGATCGCCAACGAACGTGCGGCAGCAGAAGCCGCTGAACAAGCTGCCGCCGATCAAGCAGCTGCTCAGGCTGCAGCAGAGCAGGTCGCTCGCGAGAACGCACGTCGTGCCAAAGAGGCTGAGCGTCTGGCCCGATACGCTGCTGACAAGGCTGCCGCGGCTCGCGACGCCGCGCGCGCCGAAGAACGCGCTGCTGCCGCGGCCAAAGCCGCCAAGGCCGCCGCTCGCCGCTCAAACGCCCCACGCGTCGCATATCGCGCGGCAGAGTTTAAGCGCAAGGTGGCCAGCCGCAAGGCTGCCGCCGCTGCCAAGGCTGCCGCCGATGCCGCCCGCGACGAACGACTCCATGCCCTCGCCAGTGAGGTCGCCCCGCACGTCGCCCCTGATCCCAAGCGCTTGATCCAGCCCACGGCTGCCTGGCAGGCCCACAAAGATGCGCAGACGCAAAAGCCGCTCTTCAAGGCGCCGGCTGGCTACACTAATGTTCAAGTCTTTCAAGACGAGCGCGCTCGCATCGGCTACGCCCTTGCTTCAGCCGGTCTCCAGACCTCGGACTATGCCCGTTTCGTTCTTCAATCCGCCGCTCCTGCTACTATCCCGCGCCCTGACAGCTTCTCCACCTTTGAACGAGCCGCGTAGCAAACTTACAGCCTGCAGTTGCCAAGCCGCAGAATCGAAAACGGAGCGATAGAAGATCACCGTGCAGACGTCACCCGCTCCCCCCCCCCCTCCCACACACACTCTGACAGACCTTCAGAAGTCTCCACAAAGCATACCGCTCTGCCGACCATGGACTCTAAGCACGCGGTCAACAAGGGCAAGGAGGAGGGAGAAGGGGCGAGCGCAAGTCCTCAGCGCAAGCCTATGGTGTTCAAGTTCGGCTCGGGTGGGGCCAAGTCGCGGTTCTCGTCGGCGTCGCCAGCGTCGCGCTTCGGCTCGGCCTCACCGTCTGCGGCGTCCGAGGGCGGGGCTGACAAGGCAAGCCGGGTCTCGGCCAAGGCAGCGGGCAAGGAAGCTGACGAGTACTCGAGCGGAGGACTCAGCGAGTCGGACGATGGCGGCGAGGAGCCTGGAGCCGACGAGCCTGGAGGCGTGGAGGCGAGCGGGGCGATGGCCGGCGCCGGTGCCTACACATCGCCGTCTGTCCCGGCAACGACCTTTGTTTTTGACTCGTCGCCGACGGCGATGTTTGCGCCCAAGGCAGCGATGTTTGCGAAGCCCGGCGCTGGCGGTCGTGGCGACCAAGGCAGGCCCAAAACGCTGGCGGAGCGGAAGTCGGCGTCTGCCAAAAAGGCTGCGGCGCCCGTGGCTGCGGCGCAGCTTGTGGACGTCAGCCGCACCTCGCACATGGACTACCTCCACAACCGCGATGTCAACGGTCAGCTTGTGGCGGTTCCCGTCTCGCAGGGCCAGGGCAGCAAGGTGTTCCACCTCTCGTCGCGCGATCTCAAGTTCATTCCGCAGCAAGTCTTCCAGAACCCGGACGTCACCGCGCTTGTGCTCTCGCGCAATCCGCTCGGCTCCCTCCCGGACACCCTGTTCAAGCTCAGCAAGCTGACAGAGCTTAACGTCAGCAAGTGCGCTCTCGAGTCGCTCCCCGAGGGGCTCGGTCATCTGACATCGCTCACTGAGCTCTCTGTGTCGGACAACAAGCTGAGGTCGCTGCCCCAGAGCATTGGCAAGCTCAAGGCACTCACAGTGTTGCGTGCCAGCAACTGCATGTTGTTGCGGCTTCCGCACTCGATGGCCAGCCTGATCAAGCTGGAGACGCTGGATCTCCGGGGCAACAAGCTCCAGGAGCTCGACCCGTATGTGGTTCGCCACTGGACTGCGCTCACACGCCTCGACATCTCGGATAACAAGCCGGACGTGGCTTCGAGTGCGGCGGAAGCTGACGCATATGAGCCGATTCTGGCGTCGCACTGCCACAGCCAGGTCACAAGCGGCCTCTCGTTTGTCGGCTGCATGGTGTGCAAGTCTACTGCCAAGCTGTACAAGTGCCTTGTGTGCACCGAGGGGCGGCTGCTTTGTGAGGTCTGCCTCAACGAGCCGGAGCGGGTGGCGGCCGAGACACTGGTACTTGGCGGCGGCGTGGCTGAGGCAACTGTGAGTGACGAGTACCTCGTGACGGGGCTCTCGTTCTTTGCAAATGTTGAGGACGAGCTATTCCAGCGCAAGGCTGCCCAGTTTGACCTGCCTACCACGCTTGACTCGCTTGTCGAGCTCAAGGAGCTGAATGTGTCTCATTGTGGGTTCCGCTCGCTCCCGGCCGGGATCGGAGCGCTGACAGCACTTCATACGCTCGATGTCCGCCACTCGAGGCTGCAGACGCTTCCGGCTGAGATCGGCGGGCTGTGCTCGCTTCTTGCGCTCCGCGTGGCGCACTGCGGCCTTGCTGTGCTGCCGGACGTGTTTGGGTCGTTCACTGTCATGACAAGCCTTGAGGTGCAGGGCAATCACCTCGCATCACTGCCGGGCTCTATCGTGGCGCTCGAAAAGCTCCGGACGCTCGACGTGTCGTCGAACCAGCTGTACTCGTTCCCGGCCGGCTTTGCACCGCCGGCCATCGAGGTGGTCGACGTCTCGCACAACCGGCTCCGCAAGCTCAGCGACTTTGAAGCGCTGCTGGCGGTGCCTGCACTGCGGCAGTTTGTGGCGTCGCACAACCAGATTGCCGAGTTTCCGGTGAGTGCGTGGCTGAAGGGCACAGTCTCGGTGCTAGACCTCTCGTACAATGTCATCTCGGACGTGCCTGCTGTGGCCGGCGAGCTCTCGCCGAGCCAGGAGATAAGCGTGCGGAGCCTGTCGGCACGGACGCTGCGGCTGGATGGCAACCTGTTGACCCGGCTCCCGCGGCTGATGACCTCATCGCTTTTCACCGTCGGACACAACTCACTGACGCCGTCGATGGAGGAACATGTCAACACGTATCTTATCAACGTGGGGCGGGTTCTGCGGCAAGGCGGCAATATCGAGCTCTTTACGCCGGCGTACATCCAGGCCGAGCGCGGGCTGCAGGCTGCGGTGCTATACGAAGTCGTCCAGCTTGTGATCCACACGATAGCGCTCTCACCACAGGCGGCGGTGCTCTCGCCTGACCATGTTCCGCTTGCCGAGTTTACGTGGTCAGGCGACGACAAGCTGGACAAGTTCATGTGGCTCATGTGGCATTTGCCAGCCGAGCTGCGGTACATGACGGCGACGGCGGCGTGTGACGCACCAGGCTTCTCGTTTGGCTCGAACACGTTCCGAATGGCGCGGCTGCATGTGGCGCGGGTCCTGCAGTCTGTCAACGAGACTGCGCTAGAGTTTGTGGTCTGCTCCGTGTTTCCGGCCTACCTGGGCCGGCACTCGTACGTCACACTCATCATTGTGATGCGCAAGGCGGCGATCAAGGCGGCGTTGGCCACGCTCTTCAAGTTTGCACACTGGCTGCAGCTGACCGAGGTGCATCGGAACCGGCTGTTGCAGGCCTTTATCGTCGCTCGTAACTCCCAGCTTGTCCCGCTGCTCGACACCATCACCGCCAGCAGCAGCGACGCACCGGCCACGGTTCTAGGCCTCACGCCATTTGTCGAAGTCCAGCTCCCGGCCATGAGGGCCCGGGTGCAAGGTCTCATTCCGCAGATACCCGTCTACGGCAAGAACGGCATCCTCCCCGACCTGGAGCCGGTCGTCTCGGGCTCCGAGATGCTCATTGGCGCTGAAGGACCGAATGCGACTGGGCGACAGACCGGCCTCGAGGGCTCGGCTGTCAAGGCTATTCTCAGCGAAGCCGTCGCTCTGGTCACGGTTGAGGTGGTGGCGCGGTACATCGCAAGTCTCAACTACTCGATTTCCAAGGCCTCGGGGCCTGCGAGACGTTAAATCAATGCAGCCTTGGGCTGAGTGTACAGATCGCGGGCCCAGACCTTGTAGCCGCTGCTGGCGACGGTGAGCGGGAGCAGCTGGACACCAGTCGAGTCGCGGAGCGAGACTTCGAGGAGGTCGAGCCGTGCGACGGCGTCGTTGTACTCTGCAATGGCGGCGTCGATGTCGCGGGCAAGCCGCGCAGCGCGGGCATCCAGAACATTAAACGCCACGTTGTGTGGGAGCCGGGCGGCAACGAGGCCGGTCACTGGGGCGTCGACCCACTTGAGGCCCGGCTCGATGTTGCGCGGATCGGCGAGGTCCACGTGGTCCGCCGCCGGCCCGTCTGCGGCGGCGATGGCAGCCGATGCGTCGACATCCTCCGTCGAGAGGGCGGTGTGGAGCGAGACAAAAGCATGCCGCCGCGGCGGCTGCGGAAGCGCCCTCAGCGCCCGTCCTGCATCGCCCAGCCTGCTCTGAGTCGTCCGCAGCGCGGCGAGCTTGTGGCGGGCGGCCTCGGCAACCTCCCGCTGGTACTCGATGCGGGCAAAGAGGTGGTGCAGGACCTCGAGCGGGTCATTGCTCTCGGCTCCCGGTGGCGGCTGGTCGGGTGCAGAGCTCATGAGGTGCAAGTACGTGAGAATGAGAGGCGAGAGAGGGATGCGTGCGGGTGTGGCTGTGGCGATGGCCAATGATGGACGACTGCGGTGGGCGCCAGCCAGGCACGGGTATCGTCGTCACCTGGGGCGCCAAGGTGCGGGCAATCGGCTGTGATCTGAGGTTTCGGAGCCGGAGCGTAGCAAAGTAAAAGGGTCAAAGAAACACATGGACATAACTGATGGTGATGATGACGTCTTACGGGTTCGCTCTGTGTGTGTGTGTGTGGCCCGCTGAGCCGGAGCCTGGTGCCATGAGCCAGCGGCGGCCGGGCATTGGCTGGCGACTCCCTGGCCGTGCATCACTAGCCGTTGCACGGCAGAGAGGACGGGGGAGGAGAAGGGGAACAGGCAGTAGTCAGTTCGAGACCTGACTCGACTTCTCCGGCGCGGCTGTCTTGTCTATGAGACCTGATGCGCTCCCTACAGTGCCTGCACCGTCGTCGTCGTCATGGTCGTCGGCGTCGTACACAGGCTCTGGCTCAGCCGGTACGCCCCGCCAATATCCCTTCCCCCCCTCCCCTCCCCTCCCCCCCCTTCCCCTGCCTTTACTCACTCTCGGCATGCGCAGAGCTGGAGGACGTCGTTCCGCGGGTAGCACGGTCGGCACAGGCAGGCGCGGGTGAGAACAAGCCCCAGCCGCCCGAGTATGTCGAGCCACAGCGTGACAGGTTTGGGCGGCTGGTGGGCGGGCGGTACGCGCCCAAGCACACCAGGCGCAAGTCACGGACAATCGGAACAGCGGCGGCGGCGGGGAGAGCATCGGCTGGCGCGATTGGTGCAGCAGCAGGCGGTGATGGTGGTGCCGGAGGCGTCGACGAGCCGCAGGCAAAGCGCAACAAGCGGGTGCGGCGGAGCAAGGGAGGGCGATCGACGGCGGCGTCACGGGCGGCGGTTGCTGAGCCGGCCGAAGCCGAGCAAGTACCTGCAGTGACGCGGCGAATGGCAGAGCCCAAAGCCAAGCTGGATTGCGGAGACTGGATCCGCATCGGGGTCGCCACCACGGTGTTTGTGTTCAACCTCGTGGTCTTTATCACCTGCTCGGCCATTCTGTACGTCAACTACGACGATCCATGCGACAAAAAGATCAACATTGGACTGGCCCTCCTTGCCACCTGGTTTGGCATGCTGACCTGCACTTCGTTGGGCCTCTTCTACGCCCGCATCCGCGCCGTGATGACCAAGACCTCGCTGCCGCCGTCGTCATCGTCGCCGGGCGAGGCCCGAATGACCGCCAAGGTCTACCACACGGCGTGCATGCTCTCCACTGCCGTCGTCGCCGCCTCGATGGTCCTTGTTGCCGGAATCTCGTCGATCTTTGTCTTTACCTCGTCCGAGGCCAAGTGCGACACTGGCCTCTACAACGCCGGCTACTACTACACCCTCATCGCCTTTGGCGAGTCTGGTGCGTGGATGCTCGCCATGGGCTGCCTGTTTTGCTTCCACTACCTCGACACCATGTAGCGTACTCGATTACAATGTGGCCTACACACCTTACCTTTTAATCCGTCCACGCCGCCGTCCACGCCTGCCCATCGCAGGCGACCACCGCCACCCCCAAGCCAACCCTCCCTACCCACCCCCACCTCCCGCACCCAACATCCAGGCCCACCCCTCTCCCTCTCTCCACAATGCCCACCCCCACCACTGTCCAGGTACGGCCCCTCCCTCTTTCCCCTCCCCTTTGCCTCCCTTCCCTCCCCGTCTCCTCCCATGCCCATACCCATGTCGCGCGGCCTAATTTTCTCCCCGCCACAGCCGCCGACCTCCCCCTCCCCTTCCTCCCCCCTCCCCCCTCGTGCAGCCCACGTCCACCCCACCACCGCTACCCCATATACCCTGTCCTTTCTCTCGTATCCCTCCCCTTCCCCCTCCCCCCCCCCCCCCGTCAGTTGAT